ATCTATCTATCTATCTATCTATCTATCTATCTATCTATCTATCTATCTATCACCTATCTGAGCAGGGTTGTGCCTCATATGTGTAAGGCACTGGGTTTGACCTTCAGCCTCATCATTACCCAGGTCTCCAGAGCTGGGTGCCACATGCCTGTAATCACACTGGGAAGCAGAGGCAGGCAGATCTCTGTGAGTTCGAGGCCAGAGCCTGGTTTACAAAGCAAGTCCAGGACAGTGAGGGCCTCACAGAGAAACCCTGTCTCCAAAAAAAAAAAAAAAAAAAAAAAAAAAGCAAAAGAAAACAAAGTGGTGGTGGTGGGGGTAGGAAAACAAGAAAGCAGGCTGAGAGGCTGAGCAGGCCAGGAGGTGCAAGCCAGTGAGCGGCATGCTTCCATGGCCTCTGCATCAGCTCCTGCCTCCAGGTTCCTGCCCAGCCTGAGTTCCTGTCCTCACTGCTTTTGATGATGAACTGTTTATATGGAAGTGTGAGTAAATAAACCCTTTTGTCCCAAGTTGCTTTTGGTCATGGTGTTTCATCACAGCGATAGCAATCCAGACCCCTAAGACAGAAGACAGGGTCTCTATTATGTACCTCTTGCTGTCCTAGAACTCCCCATGTGGACCAAGCTGACAGATCCTCCTGACTCTGACTCTGACTCCTGAGCTGGTATTAAGGGCTTGTACCAGGACTCCTGGCACATCCTCTTTTTAAAAGTCTTATAACCCATTGATCCAACAACTTATAGATATTCTTTACTTTACCAATGTATGTACCATAGCCCCTGTGAATAATTCTCTTCTGTAGCCTTACAAATAACAACACAATGAGGTTTTGGTGTCACTTAAAATGCACACTCATTTTGAGCATTACCTAACTAATGTACTTCCTAATTAAAATTTCCTGAGAGTGATTGCATATATGGTTTGTGTTTAACTTTTCTGAGCCAAAGTTCTTTGACTTTGACTTGTAGTGTGTGGATAATGACTAATTCACAAGGTTTCCTGGAAGGTTATTTAATGTACATTAAAGCACTCAATTAAGCAGTGTTTGTTTTCTCTTCCCTTTACCGTCTTTGTTTGAGATGGGATATTGATGCATAGGCCTTGGCTGGCTTGAAACTTATTACGATCCGATCCATTAACTTAAAAATGTATTTGGATGGAAAAAAGTTCAAGTTTCTACCATTATAAAATGAGGGAATAGAGTCCTGTGGACACAGGTGTAACTAGAATAATGAAATTACATTGACTATGTGAGACAATAAGAACTCAATAAAGACTTTCACATATGCTATTGGAGGACCACCAGGAAGTAGTAAAGTAATCAACAGATCAAATGCAGCAAAAATGACCACTTATTTTCAGCATTCCGGCACTTGGGAAGCTGAGGACTATATAGTGAGTATCAGGTCAGCCTGGGCTAACAGAAACAAAACACAACACAACAACAACAACAACAACAAAATCCAAACAACTAGAATTAAAAGAATAAGCAAAAGACTTAGACATTTTCCAAAGGAATAATAAATGGCCAACAGCATGTGAAAAGACACTCACCAGCACTAGTGATTAGGAAAATGTAAATCAGACCCACAACAGAGTATCATTTAGTATCAACTAGGATGGGTGTGGTTCCAAAATGTAAAGCTCTTGAGCATTGATGAAGGTGTAGAACAAACTGTGTCTATAGCACATTGCTGGAGGGAACGTAGAATGGTACAACTGCTATAGGAAAATGTATTAATTATTCAGAAATTTTATTTATTTAGTTGTTTTTTTCTGAGACAGTTCTGGGTGGCCTAGAACTTGCTATGAAGACCAGGCTAGGTCCATCCGCCTCTGCTGGGACTAAAGTCATGTACTACCATGCCTAGCCTATTCAGAAATTTAAACACTGTATCACAATGTGATGCAACAGTTCCATTCACAAGAACACACTTAAAAGAATTAGAAACTGTAAAAAAAAAAAAAAAAAGAAAGAAAGAAACTGGTAAGCTAATAGGTACTTGCACATCTGTTTATCCAGTCTTTATTCACAACAGCTAGAGTAGACATCACCAAGTATGCAGAATCAACAGAGGATAGAATGAAAAAAATATGATACACACAGAATAAAACCATTATTCAGCCAGGAAAACAAATGCAGTGGGGCTGGGATTTAGCTCATTGGCTGGCCAGCATGTGTGAAGCCCTGGGTCCAATCCCCAGTACTAGAACTCCTGCGTCACCCATAAAATAGGAACCAAGTAGATGAGAATGTTGGCATAGGCCATAAGCCAGCACTCTGGGAGCTGAGACAGGATTGTGAATGCCAAGCCATCCCGGGTCACATACTGAGTTTGGGGCAGTCTAGAATAGATGGTGAGAGCCTGATACAAACAAAACAAAGTTATAAAACATGTTACAATATTGATGAGCTTAAAAATATTAAAGTAATATAAGCCATATGTGAAATAACAATGACTGCATGATTTTATTTATATAAGGCACCTGAACATGCAAAGTCACAGACACAAATTAGAATTGTAGTCACAAAGGTTAGAGGAAGGAAGGAATAGGAAGTAATTACTTAATGAGTTACAAAGTTTCTCTTTAGAATGTTGAAATAGGAGTTGATTATGTAATTTTGTGATGGCACTTGTTATGCTAAATTGAACATTTCACTCATCTATCTATCTATCTATCTATCTATCTATCTATCTATCTATCTATCTATCTATCTATCTATCTATCTGGCTTTTTGAGACAGGGTTTCCCTGTGTAGCCTTGGCTGTCCTGGACTTGCTTTGTAGACCAGGCTGGCCTCGAAACTCACAGAGATCCACCTGCCTCTGCCTCCCCTAGTTCTGGGATTAATGGTGTGTATCACCTCACCCAGCTTGAATTGAACATTTAAAAATGTTCAAAATAGTAAATTTTACATCATAAATATTTATGACACAAATGAAAGGAACAATAAAAACAGAAACCAGAGGTTCACTCAATGAAACTCTTCCAGGGGGCTGGTGATATGGCTCAGCAGGGAAAAGGGCTTGATGCCAGATGACCTGAGTTCAATTGCCAAGACTCAGGGTGGAAGGAGAGAATTGAGTCCTTTAGCTTTCATATGGCATGCACAGGCTCATACATACACATACATGCTCTAAATAAATAAATAAAGTGATAAAAAATTAAAAAAATCATCTGACACAGGTCCAGAACAGAACTCAGGTCCTCTGGAAAAGAAGTAAGTACTCTTACCTGTTGAGCCATCTCTCCAGCAATTAAAACAATTTTAAAGATCCTTTAAGGAAAAAAAAGCACCAAGTCCATATCTACAGCCGACTGTACTTGTAAGTGGGGTGGCTTTTCACTCTTCCTGAAAGGTAGGACCATTTTGACTCACAGAAATGGTGATGTTGGTTTCTCTGACCTGTGACTTACAGGTGGCCATTAACAAAGCCAAACACACTGAGGGACTGTCTTTTTGTCATGACAATAGGCATCTGTGTCTCAGATGGAACTAGAAGCCTGAATAAGAACAGTGTCTTTCCACTGAGGTGACGTTATAAACAGTGTTTCCAATACTAAGTTCTTAACAGTTCCTGGCGTTTTGTTGACCACCTCTATTCTACACTTCCAACTGAGTAATGCTGCTATCTTTTCCCTCCTACCGGAGTCTTTTAGTTCATAGGTAATGTTTGACCCATTAGAATTTCTCTTTGATCTCTGAAATGATGTCTTCTTCAATTAGTATTTCTTTTATAGCTTTCTATAGTCTAATCACATCTTCCAGTTTTACTCTCACAAGTCTAGTTCAGGCTGTGGGATCTGGCTAAGTGGTTGGCTGGCATGACACCCTGGGGTTGACACTCAGGACTTGGATGGTGGAGGCAGAAAGATTAGAAGCTTAGGGTTATCTTTAGCTACACAGTGAGTTTGAGGCTAGCCCGGGTTAGGTGAGAGAGACCCTGTGTTAACACAGAAACAAACAAGCACACACAGACAGAGACACAACATAAAACCTTCCCCAGATCTAGCTCGGCTGGGGATGTAGCTCAGTAGCAAAATATTAGACTCAGTCTTTAGCACTGCAAAAATGAAACAAAACAATAACAGCAAAACCAAAACACTCCAACTGAGTACATAAACAGCGAGACAACAGTATTTCCCTTAAAAATTATTTATTTGAGTGTGTGCGCGTGTGCAGGCGTGCACGGCGCAGTATATATGTAGGGGTAAGAGGACAGCTTTTGAGAGCTGGTTATTCCCTTCCACCATTTGGATCTTGGAGATTTAAACTCAGGTATCAGGCTTCGCTATTGGTGCCTTTACCAGCCCAATATTTCTTTCTGAGATAGGTATTACTATGTTGCTCAGACTGGCCCTGAACTCCTGGTCTCAAACGATCCCTCTTGCTTCAGCCTTCCAAGTAGCTGGAACTATAGGTCCAGCTAACACTAGCATTTTTTCTTCTCTCCCTCCTTTTCTCTTTGTGTCTTTCTTTCTGAGATAAAAGTCACATGTATCATGTAGCCTAGGCTGCCCTTGAATTAGAAACATAGCCAAGAATGGCCTTGATCACCTGGTCCTCTTGCTTCGACCTCCCAACTGCCATATTACCAGCATGCACCTGGCTTAACAACATCATTTTTACAAGCAATTATACCTTGTGTGGCCTATTTATTTTTGTTGTTTTTGACACAAGAGTGCCTATGTGCAG